GGTTCGTCCTCCCGATCCGCCCACTGCTGCTCACTGGCGAGAGAGGAGGGTGAGTGTGATACGGCTCTGGCTCGTCCACAACCCCCCGTCCCCTCAGGGGACCCAGAGGTAGAAGAAATTGCTATTTTGTTGAGTATTTGGGTACTACTGACTGCGAGGTCAGTGGCGGTAAAAAAAGGAAACAAAAGATTCTCCGCCCGGCCCTCCTCCGGGGGAGGGAGTGGTGCATTCACCATCTCCCGCGCATACGTGCTTTGAAGCGCTGCTGCGCAGAATGATCAGTGTATGACTAAGTACCGCGAGAGCGATAAGAGAGCAGACGGATCCTTATGCTTTCGCGGTTGATGTCCTACACACATCCTGCGCAGCGCTGCTTCAAATCGAACGCGCCTAATGGCGGAGGGAGGCGAGACACGAGCGCGAGTAATTAAAAATGCTCCAATTACTTTAAACATCTGGCCACATTTCGGCTTTTATGAACAACCTGAGCACGACCTGGAGAAGACACACGTTGTGTGTAAATCATGTCACGCACAATGAAATATGCAGGGGGTAGGTATGGGCAAATGAAGCCTCATGAAGCACTGAGGCTTTCCTATGACTGTTTCGGGAAAAGATTCAAAGCTTTGAGTGTCTCGAAAACAGCGCCATCTGGTGGTTCATAAAAAATATAGCAGCCAAAAGCCTGTGAAAGACGCTCCGTAGAACGAGGCATCTACCACATATTCCACAGATCAATTCAAGTTACGTGCACAAATAAAAGCCTAACAGTGTGTGTGTTTGTTGAATTTCTGTCTCTGCACAGTTTAACGGGTAAATTAATTTATCAATTTAATACCAGTATGAATATCAATATGATGTAATAGAAGAAGAAGAATGTACACATATGAATTGCATATGACAAATATTTAATTTTTCTGAAATATCTGACTGCTTGTATTTATTGACAAAATTGTATAAATGTGAAGCAAAATTGAAAATTGAGGATGCAGTGCATCGTCAATGCATTGTGATGCATCGTGATATCGAATTGAACCGAATCGATGACATGATAATCGCAACGTAACCGAACCATGAGACCAGTGTAGGTTCACACCCCTACTTACCATACTGTGATGCCGTGTGTCCCAGCGCGACAAGACAAAAACAGTAAAACCCATTATAAACGAGGCATTTGTTGCATCCAGTGGGGACATAATTACTGATTTTAATGACTTATACTGTCTTTTTACGCATTGTGTTGCGTATCGTGCTGCGTAAACAAAACCATGTCTGCATTTGTGATCGGAGAAACGCCAAACAAGCGCTACTCTACACTGCTCAAAACTCGCGTTTGAATCATCGGTGGCAAATTATTTAAATATGAAAATGTACTTACAGATTGTGAGTCAGAAGCGCCAGGCTGTGCTTGCAAAGTTGGAACTGCACCACTTTATAGAAACAGAATCTCACAGGAAACAGTCCTCGTCCGGTGATCCCCGTTTTATATTTTTGTTTTAGCTCGTTTTACCGCCCTGGATTTTACCCTTGAGTAAGTCTCCACTTTCTTGCTGGTCTGTTACTTGCCTTTATCTTTTGGGTTTTAAAAGGTCTGGGGCATTTCTTTCTAGTTTGCTCCTTTCCTACCCAATCAGTTTTTCTGGGTGTTTTTTTTTTTAGGTGCTCAGGCTAATGTGATCTTTAACATGGTCATGTGGGAGACGGGGCAGAAGGAATGATGCGCTGTTTTTGGCTGAATGTTTTTTCTCCGTTTGCCGTTTTTTTATAGTGCACGGCATTTCAGTCTAACTTGTACCTTTTACCATCATTATGTTTTCTACAATGGCTCTGTGCTACTCATCTGAGGAGCTTCATCATTTGAACCTGTCATCACCTTTACAAGCAGGAATTTCCAAATCTTGTGTTGCGTTGGGGATTGCTTGTCATCCATGCTATATTCATCAAGGCTCACATCGAACTGTCAGTTTTTCTCACACTTCTGCTGACAACTTCATACCCTCTTTTTGGTCTTCCTCTTGTGCTAGTTCTAGCACTGGAACTACAGCTAACTTCTGTAACCTAAAACCTTTGGAATATTTTTCAACATGTTCACCATTCACGTTCCTGGACGGCACGCAGCCCTGCAGAGTTTAGTTCCAACCCTACTCCAACACACACACCATGTCGTTTTCAAATAAGCCTAAATGACATGATGAGCTGGATCAGGTGTGTTTAATTAGGGTTGCATCTAAACTCTGCA